AAACACCTGTAAAATTAATTAATAACAGCGATTATAAGTAACAGTAAAGATTATAAAAAGTATACACGATACTATTTTAATAATAATAATAACAAAAAATAACAGTAAAAATAACAATAACAATAATAATAAAAATAATAGCAACAACAGTAATATAACAAAAACAGTCATATAAAAAAAAATTATGACAATATTAACAACAGTAAAAATAATTATATTTATAATGATAAAAGTATAGTAATAATAATATTAACAATTATAGTGATGAAGAGAAAATACTTCAGTTTAAGAAAGATTAATTAATAAATAACTGGCTATTTATACTTTATAACTTTAACTTTTTTTTAGAAAAATATTGCTTATAAATCTTATACTTTCCTTCAACTTATTATTTATAACTTTAACTCTCAACTTCTATCTATCTAATTTTTTTTCTCTTTTCTGTTGTGTTTTAATATTTTTTGTTAAATTTAATAAGTTTAACAAAAAATATTAAATCACAACAGAAAAGAAAAAAATTAGATAAACAAAAGCTCAGAATTAGGGTTATAAATAATAATTTGAATGAAAGTATAAAATTTATAAGCAATGTTTTTCTAAAAAGTAGTTAATGAGAGCAGTTTTAAATTTTGCGAATGACTTGTATTTCTTACATGACAAATTCAGTAGAAAAAAATTAACAAAGAAATCGCTTGAAAATAAAATTTACCGAGAAATGTGCACTTAATTAAAATGAATGAATTTCTTATAAGTTTTCAATTCAAGGTAAGTACTTTGAAAGGTTCTAAACCACAGATTTCTTTAACTAAATATTCATATCTCTAGGTCTTCAACAAAAATTTCCGTAGGTCACTCCTCCGGCCTGTAAACGTTTCGGCTGTAGAAATTTATCGACGGTAACTTTGAAAAAATTTTTATAACATTGAAACAAATCATTTACGCCGATAAAATTTACAGCCGGTAGCATTTTACGCCGATAAAAAGTTTTATAACATTGACCCCAGGTGATATTTCAGCATCAGTTTCTTGCACAGATTCATCTAAAGTTTACTCAGTGGGACAGAATATCATTTTTTGTGCCAAAATTAGTTTAGCGATTTTTTTAATTATAATTATTATAATTTAATGAAACATAAAAAGTGATAAATTTGTCGATGACACCTTAAAAATCAATATTAAAAAAGTTTTCATTTCAGAACGTAGCATTTTCGCAAATAAAAGATTCAACAACACAAGAAGAAAATTTTTTTTCGATGAACCGTTTTCCTATAAGATGAAATAACTTTTGTAAGGTGTAATAAAAGTCTTTTCATGACATCTTCATTTGTATTTGTTCTGTATCTTTTACTAGAATGATGCTTCCTATATTTTTTAAAACCTTTATTTCTAGCTTTTCGATCATCTCCTATAATATTCAAGAGCTTTTTTTGCGTTTTTTCTTGCTTGCTATTTTTTGATTAGTGTTTTGTATGAAATATAAATAAGATACTAAAAACATCTTATCCATGCATGAAGTCTAAATTTATTATATTTTTATTTTTATTATTTATTTATTTTTTTATTTCGTCAAAAAAAAAAAAAAGAAAACAATGCCGTGTTATATAAATAAAATCTACATGACCGGGGTTAAAAGAAGACAATATTTGCCTTATCACTACGCCCCGACGTGCTTTTATCAGCAAACGTGTTCAACCATTAAAATGTAAACGTAAAATTACTTTGTACCATTTAAAAGTTATATACAAGTATTTACAAGTATGGTTAGATGAGTTACTAATCTATAATCAAAAGAAAATCGTAAAATGAAAATAGAAAATAATCACACCTAATAGCTAGATAAATTTATAGGATAATTTAAAGAAAATTTAAGTTAGAGACAAGTTAATAAGATACTTGTTAAAAAAGAAAAAAAAAATTCAAAATTCAAAAATCCATAATCCATATTGCAAATATGGATTACAAATAATCCATGTTGCAACTTACCCGATGAATAGAAATGACAAGTTTATCGTTGTTCATGGATTTTGGGAAACACATTTAATTTGAAGCGAGACAAGGCAAATTAAAAACATTGATGCTTCTTTATTTTAGTGTTTCAAGACTATTAACAGATAATTTATATTTGTATATGGTTTGGCCAGTAGAGCCATTAAAACCTGCTTTGAAGAAGATAAACTTAGAGAAAATAATAACTCATGTGACGAGTGGCATTTTCGAAGTTTGCTAACGAATCAATACTTAGATCTTGTAGAACACTCACAGAATCAGTAGGCGGTCGACCAGTGTTCAAAGAAGACGGAGAATTTGTAGGTGGTGTGGTTATTTTGGCTGCATTGAAATTAACTAAATAATTAATTTCCTTATCTAGCCATGTAGCATTGTACTCAACGAATTCTGTGCGTTTAAAGATATTTTAGCGTGATTTCTGATCAAAACACAACTCAAAGAATGTTAGCATATGGTTGTATTATTTCGCAGTACCTTGAATAAAAATCTTACTATCTCTTAAATATTAAAATATTTCATCTAAAAAACAAAACTGAAAATATTGTTGTTTCTTCCGGACACAGTAGCGGACTGTCTTGGCGGACCACTAGGCACCTGACCGATGTTCCCTATAATATATATATTATATATATATATATATATATATATATATATATATATATATATATATATATATATATATATATATATATATATATATATATGTATGTATATGTATATATATATATATATATATATATATATATATATATATATATATATATATATATATATATATATATATATATATATATATATATATATATATATATATTATATATATGTATGTATATGTATATATATATATATATATATATATATATATATATATATATATATATATATATATATATATATATATATATGTATGTATATGTATATATATATATATATATATATATATATATATATATATATATATATATATATATATATATATATATATATATATATATATATATATATATATATATATATATATATATATATATATGTATATATATCGGGGAAAAAATATAAACATTTACACTTTTGACTTTGTTGTCTACGTTTTTATTAAATTTTAATTTTAAAACCCGCAATATTTGAATTGTGTTTCAGGTAGAAACTAGACCAAATTCAGTAACGTAGTTAGAAATTGTGGGGCCCTATGAAGGTATCATCCACGATCCCCTTAACATTTAATATAAATTCCTACTTGTTAATTTGTTTCATACTGTAATTTCAAATTTTTCACAGCATAAACATGCATAAAAAAAGTTAAGTTAAACATTAAAAGTTATTAAAAGTTAAGTTGAGCTCGCTTGATATTGCACACGGATTATTGTGTCATGTCAATCAATATATTTGTAAGAAAATTTTGTGAGTCCTCAAACATATTATGATTAAATAACTAAGATTAAGTAAAGGCTTTAAAAGTAAGTTAATAGTTGTTTATAATCAAAATTGAATATGTGTTCTTTTGTTGCACATTTAAAATGTAGAGTGAAAATTATAGTCTTTATATCACTTATTAGAATCAAGTTCCACAATCGTGGCCCTTGGCAAGATATTGAGAAGTTAGCTTGTTTTAATAAAGTTTGAGATATGACAAAGTTGTTAATTGAGTACTTAGTTTGGTATTTGCGGTTTATAGAAATAAATTGATATTGGAAAGTATTTGATAGTCGTAGATTTTTCAACTTAAACATAAAAAGTAGTATGTTGAGAATATTTACTTCAAAGACATTAAGCACTCTAAGTTCTTTTAGTATAAGTTTTATGCACTGGTGTACCTGTTTGCGTTTAATATTAAGCAACATGCATGTTTTTGTTTTTTGTAAACTGCATTTAACTTTGTTGGATAAGTACTCGCCCAGACTGTTACAGTAATTGATGCAGCTGTGAATAAAAGAGAAAGGAATATTTTTAAAACAAGTTGAGTTAAGATGATGCTTTGATTTAAACATAATTCCAATAATTTCAGATATTTTATTTTCCTTTTTTTTTTTATATGATTACTCCAGCTAACACTTTTATTAAGAATTATATCTAAAAAAATTAATTGAGTATTCTCTTTTAAGTTTAGTTTTGTTGATGAGCAGCTTAGGAAGTTTTAGAGGAGGGTGTCTGAACCAGAAGATTTTGTAAAAAAAATATGTTTTTTTTTTCTGCGTTTAGCGAGAGTTTGGCGGTCTTAAACCATTAGTTTAAGTTTTCTAGTTCTTGATTAACCGTATTAAAGATAAAGTTAATGTTTCGTGGTTAAAAAGTACTTGCGTATCGTCAGCAAATAGAACAAAGTTGAGTTTATTGGAAGATGAGAAAATATCATTAATATAAATAAGGAATAGCAATAGCCCTAGAATTGATCCTTGCGGAACAAAAGTGGTAATACTTTTAGGTTGTGTAATAGTATTGTCATACGACAATTCTTGCTTTGATTAGTAAGGTAGGAGCAAAACCATTTTAAGTTGTTGTTTTTTATTCCATAATTATCTAGTGCTTACCAAATGCTTTCAAAAGATCAAGAAACACCCCTAGAATGTATTTGTTTTCATCAAATCCATTTAAAATTTCATTTACAAGTTTAACTGCAGCGTGTTCTGATGAGTGTCTTTTTTAAAATCCATATTAGTTTTTATTTGAGAGTTACACTGTTACGGAAAAAGGTGTTCATGTAAAAGAAAAAAGGTGTTGATGCGTGATACTATATGAACACCTCTTAGGTGTTGCTGTAAAAAGGTGTTGATGTAAAAAAAGGTGTTCTTGTTACATAAACACCTAATAGGTGTTGCCGTTAAAAGGTGTCAATGCAAATAAAAGTGCTCATGCTTCATTAGCATTTGAAACATGTTCACGCAATTACGACGCGTTTATGACGCAAATATTAAATTATTCAAAAATAAACATGATCTTCTCAACCTTGCGGTTTATCATGTTTTTACGAAATTTTGTGCAATATAAATTTTATGAAAGATAAGTTTTATGAGCGTCATAATAAATATATTATGTAAAACATATGTTTTACAAAGCAACCTGTCATTTAAAATTTTATATTAAATACACATTAGGAATTTAAAAATTTATATAAGCGTGTTACAACAAATACAAATTATCAATAAAAAAAAATGCATATATTTAAAATAAAGTTGTAATACAAGTTTTTAAAGTGTTTTTTTGTAACTTTGAAAATTTAATCGACTGCTAACGACTTGATATGCTTATGCCTCATTAGTTTTTTGCAATTAAACAAGTTTTTTACAATTAAACAAGTTTTTTACAATTAACAGAAATTGAATTAAATTGGTAAAATAAGTTCCACTCTCCAGATGAACGATTTTATAAAAACAAGCAAACATTTTAATATTTATCGTTGAAAAAATAAAATAGTAATAATTACTAAGAAATATTCCTATTGCCTATATTATATTTTATTTTTAGTTTATTTCATGAAAGAAAAACCGAGTAAGGTTAATATTTCATTTACTTTACTTTTTTCACCTGTATATGAAGAGAAAGAATTCTCAATAGAGACAGTTCTTTCTCTCCAATACTTTTGGTAGGAAGAAGTTCAATATTTTCTTCAACCCATAGTGGTTCTCCATTTATTATAAACCTGAATAATCAAAATAAAAATCATATAAGAACAAATAAAATAAATTCATAAAGCAAAAAACATAAAAAATAAAAAAATCACACTATACACTTATATACAATTGATTTTATTAATTTCTTTTATTAGTATTATTTTTCCTTTAATACTCCTCACAACAATTATCAATTATCAGTATTAATTGTATGATGTATTAACTGATTGTAAGGCTCTGATGAGTTGTAATACAACTTATAATAAACAATTTTATTTTACTGTTTTAGAACTATGATTTCAGTCTTATAATCAATTAATTATAAGTAATTTATAACAAACACAAAATATATAAAGTGACAAAAAAAATAATTAAACTTGGAACAACTTATATAATCAAAAAATGTATTCATAAAAGAAAACAATGTTAAAAGTTTAAATGGTAAAGCCATATAAAAATCATTAAAAAAACGTAAAAAAAGATAAAACGAAATAAAAAATGTTATTTAATCATTGCAACAAAGTCATCATAAAAGTAACATAATAGATTTTACAATTTTAATGTTACTCTTTTTTCTAATATGCATTATTATTTCCAATATTTCAAATACTGCCTCTTGTTTTCTGCAATGTATCAAATTAAAGCCCACACTTAACGATGAGCTGACAAGAAGAACTTCAATTAAGTTTGCACAAGGAATAGAAAATTTATCAAACGTAACAGCAAAATCTCCATTTTCGTATTGAAGACGAATCATATTCTATAAATAAATGAAATAGATCAAAATAAGTCATTTTTAATGTTAATCAAAAAAAAAAAAAAAAAAAAAAGAAGAAGAAAACATGGAACCGTGTTAGCTAGTAGTATAGTTTAGTAACAATACTAGTATAGTATAGTTTCGTAAAAGATAATCTCACCTATTTTGTTCATATTAATTTAATATATGTATTTAAAAACTTATATTTTATATCAGTTTGTTTATTAATAATGCAAATAATATAAAAAACTGTGTTCAACTTGTTTCTGCGTATAGTACACAAAAACCTTTGTTTTGGAGTTAAAGAGTTGAGAGAGGATTGTAAAATTAACTAAAAAAAAATGTAGCTTTCAAGGCATTGGGGAGGTCAATTTAATAAAATTATAAAATCAAACTAACCTTTTCAGTAAATTCTTCTACTTTTTGACGACATCTAGCTACAATAAATTGAAATCCGATTATATTTGAATCAGAAGTAGCCATAGTAGGGTTAACCATCTTTACCAGATTAAGAAGAGATGAATATCTCTTTAAAAATGGGGCCCATTTAATGCAAATATTTCTAAGAGAATCTTTCATTAAAACTTGAACCCCTTCAAAGTCTAATCCATTATCTTTGTATGGTGAGCTCTCATTTAACTGGTACACTTGTAGCATTCTCTTGCTCTCATTATATACCTAAAAAAACATCATTTTGCATAAATAGGAAAAAAAAAAGTTAAATGAAGAAATAAGGATTCTTACATTTTCAGCTGACAAAAAATAGGACTTGAATAATTCAAATTCTGTTAAAAAGCAAACAGTTTCTCTTGCATTATTTCGTTGTGTGAAAGATGTTTCCATTACAAGTTCTGCTTCAAGTGAGGTTTGAACACTGTTTGAAATTGTGACAAGCTAAAATAATTGACGAACATTTATACAATAAAAAATAAGATAATTTACAAAACAGATGTAAAGCTAATTTTTATTTTACATCCATGTTTCCACAGTTGTGTGGCTTGGATGATTCTCCATATAAATGCCATTATAAAAGTGTTAAAGCAATATTTTACAACAGAAGACCCCTCCTGATGTTAACACGAAGCAGGTTGTACTGGGTTACATGTTACCAGTAGCAAAATAACCTGACCTGAAAGTTCACAATTTTTTGCCACAATTTAGAGGAGAGAACAGTAAACTAGATTAGTAGAAATTACAATTTAAAACTGTAAACTTACATATGCCTCATTTACAACTTTAGATATTGCATTTATATTGGTCATGAGTCTTAATGGTTCTTTGATAACACTGTCACTTACTGCTCTAAAATAGATTAGAATAAAAATATATATCTAAAATATAAAAATAGATTACAATAAAAATATGTAATCTGATCATAAAACAAAAAAATGTTTATTAAAAAGAACAAGTCATGACATATTTAAGATAAATGATAAGATAATCTTATACAGGCTTACCACTAATAAAAGTGGGTAAAAATAAAGATTTTAATGAGATCTAAAGAAAAGTTTACCCAATTTTGGAGGAGATTTAACCCAAAACAGCAAGAAAATAACATATTAAAAAATTAAGGAGAATTAAAAAAATAGTCATTACTTTTTATACAGAATCTTAAATAGATAGTAAAACGTCAAAAACGGTATATGATATATTGCGTATAACATAAATTTTTATAGGATTTCAAATCATCAAAGAAATAACTATTTACTTTTTTATCAAGAAGTACAATACATTTACTTCAATAAAATTCAATAAAAATACTGAATATCTCTTTTTATGGATATTTAAGGAGGTTTTAGGTTTTTAAAGATTTTTAAAGAGAGTGCAAACACTTTTATAATCAAACATAATTAATATCTAAAAAATATAAATGTAATAATCAAGATTTAAAAAAAATACTTCTTCATAGCTTTTGTCACAGCAGCTTTAGCATATTTCTTTTGCTTTTCAATGACAGAAGTACAATTCATTTTTCTTCTATAATTTTTAAACCTGTTGATAATTCTTTCGTGAAAGCATCTCTAGTAGTAAAAAAATAAATTTTATATATATATTATATATATATATATATATATATATATATATATATATATATACACATTTATTTAATTATTTTTTATTTTTTTCAAGTTGATTTAGGTGCCCCAAGAAGTCCTTACGGTCTTATCACAGAGCACCGTGGAAGAGCATTTAATAGGTAGTTCACGCCTCCTTCCCAACCGATGTCGCAAAGCTTGCCCAGAGGTGGGGTTTGAACCACGGATCTTATGTTTCTGAGGCAAGTGCGCTACCACTGCGCCACGGCTGCTCTTATATATATACATATATATATATATATATATATGTATATATATATATATATATATATATACATATATATATACATATATATATATATAATATGTATGTATGTATATATATATATATTATATCCAGCAATTCGCTACAGTTGTATGATGCTTCTGGTGCAGAAATCGATGATGGAGAAACCCTAGATTTTTTAGTTAAAAATAATAATTTGAAACAAGTGTTTTTGCAACGTCAAGTGCCAAGTTTTACAATAAACGCATCACCAGAAGAAATTGTAGGAAATAAAACTATTTCTGCAAAACAATGGCCAGGATTGAAATTTGAAATCCCAACAGATGCAATTGTGGAAGCAAGGCTTACATCTGGGATAATTGATGCCAAATCAATAGTAGCAGACGGTCAATTTATGAACCACTGGGTTGGGATAATTTTTCATAAAGTATTAGAATATATTGGAATATATATATATATCAACATATATATATATCAATATATATATATATATATATCAATTTATATATATATATATCAATATATATATGTGTTTATATATACATATATATATATATCAATATATATATGTGTTTATATATACATATATATATATATATATATATATATATATATATATATATATATATATATATATATATATATATATATATATATATATATATATATATATATATATATGTATATATATATATATATATATGTATGTATGATATATATATATATATATATATATATATATATATATATATATATATATATATATATATATATATATATATATATATATATATATATATATATATATGTATATATATACACATATATATATTGAGATATATATATAAATATATATATATATATATATATATATATATATATATATATATATATATATATATATATATATATATGTATATATAAACACATATATATATTGATATATATATATATATAAATTGATATATATATATATATTGATATATATATATGTTGATATATATATATATATTGATATATATATATATTGATATATATATATATATTGATATATATATATATATATATATATATATATATATATATATATATATATATATATATATATATATTGATATATATATTTAAGCAAGGACCAAAAATTTTATTAAACAACAACAAAATATTATTACGTAATTTATTAGCCCACTACAGCACAAATTAACTCACTGAATATTGAGCAGCTTTAAACTCTGGGTATTTCTCGTTAATAACCATCACCAGCTCATTTAATTGAATTCCATTTAAATATCTATGATGTTGATAAAAACTAATATATAATAGGAACTTAGAGTTAAAACATAATTTAGATAAAAAATCAATATAATATATCAACTATAACATACGGATTTTGTTGATCAACATATTCCAATACTTTATGAAAAATTATCCCAACCCAGTGGTTCATAAATTGACCGTCTGCTACTATTGATTTGGCATCAATTATCCCAGATGTAAGCCTTGCTTCCACAATTGCATCTGTTGGGATTTCAAATTTCAATCCTGGCCATTGTTTTGCAGAAATAGTTTTATTTCCTACAATTTCTTCTGGTGATGCGTTTATTGTAAAACTTGGCACTTGACGTTGCAAAAACACTTGTTTCAAATTATTATTTTTAACTAAAAAATCTAGGGTTTCTCCATCATCGATTTCTGCACCAGAAGCATCATACAACTGTAGCGAATTGCTGGAGGAACATGGGAACTTACTGCCACATTTTGCTAGCAAATCAGAATATGAAGTGTACAGAATAACTTTTATTGTGTCACCTTTTTGTACATTAATTGATTGCATCTGCAAAAATAGGTAGATGTTAACATATAACACAAAAAGAGTTTAAAGTAAATCAGATATATTATCACTAACATTATTTATCATTATTTATCACAAGATATAACCTGCAGGCTTTATGAGAAGGTGTAAGGTAAATAAGGAGGTTTGGCAGGACATCAGGTTTTTTAAAGGGTCCAAAGAAAAAAATGGAACATTATATATTCTGCTTTTTAGCCCTACTTACCTGTATCAAACTGCATTATGAAAATACTTCATTGGGATAAAAAATTATCAGTTTATTTATATATATATAAATACCTTAAATGTAAATATATATTATTAAAAAATATATATATATTACTTTTTGCTGTATAAGACATAACTAGTGTTATGTCTTATACATATGTCTGTAATTTATGTCAAAGTTGATGTCTCAGTTTTTAACTTTGTCACTAGTAGTGTTGTGCTGAACTAGTTTTATTTATTTTTGAATAAAATAAATTATAATTAAAAGGCAGAAATAACAACTCATATGAAATATTCATATAATAAATAGTCTGACAATATACTCTTTATCTTTTATTATCACAGATTTAGATGAACTTAATTTAAGAGACAAAATGTCAAGTAAAGAAAATGAGTTTTTATGATGCTCTACAACATACGAGTTAACTAAAGGAAAAAATGATATTGCTGTTTCTTGACACATCGCATACCAAACACTGTTAATAGACATCAAATGATTTATTTTAACAGCTTTTTCTTCGCTTAGAATCAAATAAGAAGATACTATCAACTGTTTTCCCTGGACTGTTAATTTTTTTGTATGAAAAATAGTGTTCAAATTTGGTTTAAACCGTTCAAGAAGTGCTTCTTGAGCATGATGAAGAGATATTTTTGCATATGAGATTGATCCTGAAAAATAAAATATTTGTATGATATTACATAAAAATAAACAAATATGCGATTCATCAATTATTATGATTGCAGCTTACCTGGAACAATGTCATTACTCCTTTCAAAGAGCCGTTTACAAGTTTTATGCATTTGAAATCATTTTGAAAATGAATATATAGGGTTCTTAAATTGCTGACTAACTCTTGCAAGCTTTTTAAAAATCTGATGTCGTTCAAAACGCATGCACCAAAAAGTTTTCATTGTTCCCATGTAGCTTGAAAGGTCAGGATAATGTGTGATAAAATGGAGCTTTGCTGCTACTCTTGTGCCATTATATAATGTTTTAATATAGTTAACAAGTTGTGGAACAAGAAAATGTAATGATTCAATATGTTCATTACAACGGCTATTTAAAATCAATAAAATTTCACAATGAATAACGATCATATCCCAATAAGGTGCATCTTTATCATTGAAGCTATCAAAAAGAAACAATGGCAAACACAATGAAAGGGTTAGCATCTCACTAGCCGTAAGTGCCAGCTTTGATGTCATATAAGTTGATGTCAATATTAAATTCACTGGCAATTTTACATCTCTTAGCAATAAATTCATACCAAGTAATGTTAATTTTCGCTTGATCATATAATGATTCAAAAATGTTGAAATTACAACATGGCTTATTCCTTCCAAAAAATCATGCATGAAATCACTTGGGAAAAATGCAGGCAAAAACACATATGGTAAGTGTAAAAACGGAGATAAATTCAGACAACCATGTTGTTGTTTTGTACTATCAACAATGTAAGATTCATGAGTTCTTTGAAATACATTTGTATTTTCCTGTCTAACAAAGAAATAACAGTGTCTACATATGTATCCACTATGAAAATGTGATTGTAAACCAAGAAGTGGATGAGCTGTTAAATTGTCAGCAGACATAAAACACGCAATAACATGGTACTCTTTAACATTTACACAAAATGTGTTAAATAATAAGTTGAACAAGTCATCAATAATTGGCTTACAAAACTCATTGAGTGTAATTTTTTTAACCACTTTAAAATTACATAATGAAGCTAAATGATAATTGTCCATTTTAGATGCATTACTCTTTTGGTTTAAAATAGAAAAATAAATTGCTGATATTTTATGTCTACCCCTACTGGTGCCTATTGGGTTACATACCTCTAACTCATCTGAATACAAACCAATATATACTGTTTTGTCTGGATCTGAAAATGGTAGAATTGAATTTTGAAAGTAGTTTGATTTTGAAAAAGATAAAGACTCTGGGTGCAAAATTGTTTGACCTTTAAGAATACTTTTAAGATTTTCTTCTAGAGGCACATGATAAAAAAAATCATCACCAACAGTAACTTTCACTGCTTTTACATGACCCAATTCACCTAAATAATTATCAAATTTATCTGGACTCATACAATGTGACAAACACATATCAATGCTATTGTCTCTTTGAAGTTTATACAAGAAACATTGTGCGTAAGGGTTGTGAATTGATATGCCAGTCTGTTGCAAAAAACTTTCAAATGATCTACATATATCACCCAATATAGCTTTAACTGAATCACCGTGTAGTAGAAGTAACTTTTTTGAAGTATTTTCAGACACCAAATGATAATTCATTGTTATCATAAAAAACTTTTTCATTTCATCAAACATATCAAATATATCAGTTGATTGGTCTGCATTTTCATCATATTTGGTATTAATACAAACTGGCAAATCTAATGGAATAGCTGATTCAATTTGAATCTGTGTAATATTATGTTGCCGCTTGTCTTGATGTCTTCTATAAACATGATTTTTTGCAACAATATAGTTTACAAATTCAGCAGAACAAAAATGACACGGTATTCTAAAAAAATTACAAAAATTCAAAAGTTATAATTTCTGTTTCTTACAGTTGAAAGCTATATATATTATATATATATATTATATATATATATATATATATATATATATATATATATATATATATATATATATATATATATATATATATATATATATATATATATATATATATATATATAATAATAATATATATTATAATATATATTATATATATATTTTAATATATATATATATATATATATATATATATATATATATATATATATATATATATATTATAATGTATATATATATATATATATATATATATATATATATATATATTGTTTTGTTTATTATTTCTTGATGGTAGTATGTTCAAAATTCATGGTCTGCAAAATGCGTAACGTCTGAAATGAGAATTGGGTTGTAAAAAATCAATTTTAGCAAATCCATGTCATCTAAAAAAAATGACATTGTTAACCCCTGTCCAACCCCAGTTATGTGGAAACATAGGTGTTAAACCTTGAAAAAAAACTCTCTAGAATCCTCTGTTTTTATTCAAAACTTTGTAGTTTTTGCGAAAAAAAAAAAATATATATATATATATATATATATATATATATGTAATAACTTTTTAACTTTTACTTGTGTGTATGTGAGTATATATTTTATTTAAATGATGAAAGGTTAAAATACTTTTGTCCATAATGGATTCGATGGTAGTGAGATAGCAAATTACCAACAGATTTACGACTAAATGAACATTTGACACAAGGAAAAGCCATTGTTAATATTTTTCACGTCAAATGACAAAGATTTGATTTTTTTTTTTTTATTCGCACGTGGTATTACATAATATGTTACGTAACGTACTTTAAAACTTCGAAACATGTTGAAAAGCTGTCGACGTCGACACCTTTTTTTAAAACACTAACACCTATTTTCTAAACAGTTTGTCTTCAACACTTATTATGCTAACATAAACACCTATATAGGTGTTTGTGTTTATATTATCAACACCTTTTTACGTTAGCACCTTTTTTTTCGAACACGGACACCTTTTTCCGTAAGAGTGTAATGGTTAACTAGAAAGTTACAGAGTCTATTGTGCCTTATGCGCTCTAATATTTTCGAAAAACAGGGTAAAATAGATATTGGTCTATAGTTAAAAGCCATAGAATCGTTTCCGTTTTTAAATACAAGAACAACTTTAGCCATCTTAAGCTGTTCAGGAAACATTCCGTGATTTAAAGACATGTTTTAAATATGAAGGGATGTTCAAAAATCACGATATTCGCGCTAATGACGTCAAGCCCTGAGCTTTTTTTTGATTGTAGGGAATTAATGGCGTTTTGAAGCTTATTGGAGTTATTTTCTGCTCTTCCCTTCCGTGATCCTTTTTTTCTAAATATGATTTAAAACTTGTATTTCCAGGATTTACTTTGTCAGCAAGTTTTTTCCCAATTTTATAAAGAAATTGTTTAATTTCTCAGAAATGTCTATAGGTTTGGAGGCTGTGATATCACTTTTATGTGTTTTTGGAAACATTTTTGTTGTATGTTTTTTCATTCCTGTAACCTCTTTTATTATGCTCCGTGTTTTTGAGTGTTACCGATATTATTTTTTATTAAATTGTAATAATAATTTTTTTTATTGATGTTTTAAAATTTCAAATAAATTTTTATTTTTTTTATATATATTTTTTCATTTTTATAGGTCTTTTTTTTTCATAAACTTTTCATCGAATTTTTTTTTTTAGAAGATTTGATTAGCCCATTTGTCATCAATAGTCTTTGTACGCTTTTGAGCTTAGTTTTTATTTCAATCTAGCTTGTCTTTAGTTGGTTTTATAGAATAAGTGATTTATAGAATAGCTGGTTTTATAGAAAAAGGATGACACCATAAGTTTACCGCACTGGGTCATAGCAACCCCAGCGACGCCACTGACATTGGCATGGTCAACATTTGACACTGTTGACCATGAGATTCTTCTGTATAAACTAGATAATTATGGTATAAAAAGCAACAACTTAAAATGGATTTTGCTCCTACTTTAATAATCAATATATATATATATATATATATATATATATATATATATATATATATATATATATATATATATATATATATATATATATATATATATATATATATATATATATATATATATATATATATATATATATATATATATATATATATATATATATATATATATATATAGTGGGTGACCAAATTATTAGTTACATTTACAAAAATTATAATATTAACCATTATAAGCTCTTTTATAAGCTAGTAGTACTAATATAAATATTATTGCTTTCGGGATAAAAAAAAGTAAAAGTACAAAAGTTGTTTCAGCTTAATATGTAATTAAGAAATTTAGACATCATAAAATGTAAATATAGGCTTCGGAATTGTAGCTGCTTGGTTTTGTAGCTGTTTATACTCTTTACAATGTTTTCTTTTTATTCTCCCTCCTTCTGCAATTTATCGAAAATGCAAAATAAAAACATTATTGCTTACTTGCAATATTATACTATATATACATTTTTTATAAGTTTAATCGTACATATGTTGTACAATTAAACATATAAAAAATGTATATATAGTATAATTTTTAAACTAGTATATTATTAAAAGTAAAGTACTTGCTAATTGGAAGATCAAATATTTTTAATAAAAGAAATATCTTTTTATTTTTGAATTTTCTAATTCATTCTAAATCCAAGTTTTGCATGATTTTAATTTCATTTTTATGTCCAATCAATTTTATTACAAATGTGTGCGTGATTTACAAAAGTTTAATTAATTAAATTATCAAAATATAGAAGGTTTAAACTACAAAAGTCTACTTAACGTTCGTTCAACTGATGAAGTTATCCAAACACATAAGGTTTATTAAATAAACTTTTAGTTATCGTTATTTTAAGTTGAAATTATTTTTGAAGAGAAATGTTATATTCGAGATTCAAAATGATTCATTGTTAATTAATGAAACATCTGAAGTTAAAAGTAATGAAACATCTGAAGTTAAAATTAATGAAACATCTGAAGTTAAAATTAGGCACCAGAATATTGTTTATAACAAAAATGTTTAAAAGGTCCCCAAACAAAAATTAAAATTACTTACAAAAGTACGTAAAATTGAGTTTAGAAAGATCATCCATTTAATCATGGATTGCAAAACCCAATGGAGTAGCTTAAATGAGAAGTTTAAATTAAAAAATAATTATTGTGCTAAAAAGGCATTTCTAGATTTAGTATTGGATTTTAACATCGATGATTCAATTAAGATGAGCAAGAAACAATTTAGAATGATATCTGATTTAGTAGTACTTTTACTACCAATAAAGCAACTCTGGTGTTTGAGAGTTACAACTGTGGTCGCACTTCGTTGGACGACTTAGTTGTCGACAAGACGCAACTTTAATTTCTTCTGAAAATGCATAAAAGTTTATATTGACAAAAAATGAACAACAATCTGAAATCGGAATACAATTGTATAATGCTTTAAATTACCAAATTTAAGAGAGGAGAACACCGTTAAGGAGCTAAGTATATCTTTATGGCTCGGTTCATAAAAAATTACAGAAGTTTTTCTACAAAATTTGGTAGAAACTTGTATTTAAATACAAGTACCCAAAATAAAAAATATTATTTATACGGCCAAGAAGTATGGATTTGGAAAAAGCATTCTCAGTTTTTAAGTTCAAAAAATCAAATACGATTAAACGATGAAATGATTGACACTTTGATTTTTTAGGGTAGTACTTTCAAAAACAAATATAACTCATGTATCCCATGTTCATATTATTTTTAGTTATTTTTTATACTGTGTTATCATTTTAAGTTATTGTTTTATAATTTAAACTACTTAGGTTCATTTTAATGAACAAGGTACATTTTTTATGTCATAATTAAATTAATCACTTTTAAGTATTTAATAAGCGCTTAAAACGTTAGTTCCTTTTATGCTTCTTTATCTACAATTGCGTTTTTTTCTATTCAATTCCGGGATTTCCCGGGGATAACTTTTTCGACATCTTAAAGTTCTGTTAGAAATCTTGATACTTCTTCTTGATACTGCTTCTTGTATGACTTTAGTAACTGCTTTTGTTCTTTTTCTTCGAATTTTAAAACAAATTTAAAAACAAGTTGCACGTTCATCGCTTGGGGTAGTGATGCGTGATCTTCTACATTTTCCACAGAAACATACTGTCACCACAGAAACTTAAACTAAATTTACAATTTACCTTTAGTGATTTGAATGTTTTAATAAAGCAGATATTTCTAAAATTTTTTTGTTTGATATATATTTAGCTTTTCCCATTTTTAGGCACTAAAGTTCAAATATTTTTAGTTAAAATTACTAACTAATGTAAAAAATGAGTTAAAAACAGAAAAATACTAACAGTTGACAAAAATGTTATATATTACGCACGCGTTATCACGCAAATAACAATTTTGCCACGAATATGTAAAAAGGCGCATTTTGCATACTTTTGCATATTCTAGCTTATCAATTCTAAAAGTTGCCACAATTATTTATAAGTTTTATAACTTCATAAAAAAAATATAGAAAACTATTATTGATATTAAAATCTCAAAGAATGTAAGAGTAGAATCAAATTAACTCATTTAAAATTCATATTTAATTGTAGTTTTTAAGAAAAAACAAACTGTAATTAATAATTTGGCCGCCCACTGTATATATATATATATATATATATATATATATATATATATATATATATATATATATATATATATATATATATATATATATATATATATATATATATATATATATATATATATATATATATATATATATATATATATATATATATATATATATATATATATATATATATATATATATATATATATATATATATATATATATATATATATATACAACAAACTACCATGCAGCTATCTATTAACATTTTATTTTTTAGCGAAAACATATTTATTACATAAGCGCATTTTAATTAGCAAGCTATTTTATTAGATCTTAATAACGTTATAATTTTAAAAATGCAACAATTGATTTATTAAAGAAAGCGATTGTTACATTCAGTGAAGGATACAGTATTTTTTGGTGTTTGAGATAGCTAACTTCCAGACATGGCGCAAACTTCAAACATTTGAAAAAAATTGCGATGATTGGAGGCTGGGAACAAAAAAGCCCTAAAATTTCAAAACCCCTTCCACAAACGTGAGAGCAACAAGTTGATAAAACAATTTTTTTGCCATTCTCAACTAAAATATATATTTAATAATAAATTTTAAGTATTATTGCACAATTTCTGAGCGTTCAATAATTCGTAACTCTTTCAATTTGAGGAGGTTTTAAACTTTATTTGGTCATAATTTTTGAACACTGAGTGGTATGAAACTTAAAATTTATCGATGAATATGAATTTATTTGAGGAAAGCCAAAAAATTATTTTATCAATTTGTTGTTCTCACGTTTAGGGAAAAGGGAGGGTGATGAAATTTAAGGGTTTTTTGTTCCCAGCCTTCAATCATCGCAATTTTTTGCCAATTATCATTATTTGACATAAGTATAAACATACAAATATTTGGAGTTTCATGTCTAGAAGTAATCTCAAACACCAAAAATTGCTGGATCCGTCACTTGTTGCATTCTTGTCATTTTTACGTTATTGATGAAAATCGAAGAAAATTTCCTAATATTTTAAAGCTACTAAAGTTACTTAAGCATTCTTTTATAGAATTAATGAACAGTAAAAGCGAGCAATAGAATTTATTAAACTTACGTAACTCCGAATAAATCTTAGTGCTCGAAAAGTGTTCAAAACAGTTTGAAAACTTTTTTTTTAGCTTTCAAACAAAAACACGTAAGTCTAGTTTTTAAGTTAAGTTCTTTTTTTTTATAAAAACCAAAAAAACCTAAAAAAGCTAAAAAACAAGTTATTTACACAATTAAAAAGTAAAAAAAAAAAACATTTAAGCAACAGAAATGTACTATAAAATAAAAGAGCATAATCAGACTACGTTAATAAATTTTTAGTCGGTAATGCATTAAAAATATCTTAAATTTTAAGATATTTTATTTAACTGCATTACCGACTAAATATTTATTTGTGTAGTCTGATTATACTCTTTTATTTTACATAAAATAAAAGAGCATAATCATTTTACTCTTTTATTTTTTTTTACTTTTTAATTGTAAGTAATTTGTTTTTTAGGTTTTGATTTTAGACAACCCTTGTACCCCCTCCTCCCTGGAGAAAACAACCTGGGTCCGCCATTGTTTTCAATGTATTTTCATACAGGTCACACATCATCATGATAAAATTTGGTACGCAAAAACGAAAAGAAAAACTACAAACAGAAAAAATGGTTGTTTTTTACGAGAGTTAAATTCACAGAATACATCAGCAATATTAAAAGCACGAGGTGGTGTAGATATTGAGTTGAATTCACAGTGTATATTAGCATTTGAATATTCACCACGTTCGCAGTTAAGTTGTTTTTTAGTAAACACCCAATTCAGCCACGTGAGCATTTGCTGTTTCACAACAAGATCTACCATCGACAAATTGACTTGAAAGAAACATACCAAGAAATTGATTGTCATTTAGCCAGAAATCTCAGTCTTTATATTATTTATTTTGTGTTGCATTTGCATCATCATATGTCTGGCTTCAAAGATTTTAAACAAGCTAACGGATCAATCAACAAAAAAAATGAAACAGCGCTCACCACACGCATGTTCTTGATTATATTTGTATAATGAACAATCAAGACTTCGACATATTTTGTAGTGCAGAAGTTAAGAAACATAATGATAATGAACTGAAGCGGAAACAAATGCTTTCACGAGTTATTGATGTTATCAAACATTTATGTAAGCAAACGTTGTCATTTTGAGGTCATAAGAATTAACAATCTTTTTTATTGGACAATGATGAAGAAAATCATGGAAAATTCTCAGTTTTGGTACAGCTCTTGGCCAAATATGACATACGTTTAGCTTTCCATCTATTCATTTGTCTATGATTGCAGTAGAAGTGTCCAAAGCGAAAGTATACTCAATTGAATTCTGCACAAGATATATATCTGCAATTAACAAATTTAGCATTGTGATTTGTTATTTTTTGAATGCTACTATGCCCTAAGGGCTGCTTTTTGTTGTACCAAGTACTGGCCAAAGTCAGTTCAATCTATTAATTGGAACGCTACAGCGGCTTAGTTTTGATTTAAAATACTGTCTATCAGACAGCATTAACCCAGTGGGCACAGGACGTAAAAAAGACGTCCTTAGGACGTTCAAATCGCGTCCGTCCGTTCCATTGAAAGTCAAAACGTCTTTTGAACGTCTTATTCGCGTCCAATAATTTTTTCGTCCAAAAAATATCCAGAATGCTTTATTAAATAAGCGCTAAAACTTCATAAAATTTTTGGCAAGCGCTAAAACTTCATAAAATTTTTAAGTAACGCATTTCTAATAGTTTTTTTTCAATTACAAAAGAAGTCTTTTTACAACAACTAATAGACACGTTCCATCTAATTTTTGTTTTTGTTATCAATTGAAAATTTTGGTAATATTGATACAGGTAATGAAATTTTTACAGATAATGAAAGAAACGGTTTAAAACTGAATATATGCTATACTATTAGGTACGCGGATATCGCGATTTACGGAACTGATTTTTGTGCTAAAATTTTGGTTCTCGTTTTTTTCACTCTTTTTTAAGGCAGCGTAAGGCAGACGTAGTTTTGTGGAATTTCTTTTTAGAAACAGATATACACATAGATTTTTTGAAAGAAGAAAAGCTAATCTTGCTTTATTTAAGAAATTTATGCATAGTTATTACACTTTTTTATCGATTATTTTGCTTCTGAATATTTGGTTGGTGTTCTCACATGAATTTGTAGTAGAAGAAATGTTGAGCCGGCTTTTTTTTTATTCAGACATATTTCTACATGCATTTTCTATGGGCATGTCAAATTTCAACGAAAAATAATTGGTAGCAGATAGTTTAAAATGTATTATATTACTTATACCACTTATTTTAGGTAGCCTTAGGTAAACGTTTTTTTTTGTGTTTGTTTTAAGAAACATGCATAAACATAAATTATTTTCATAAAGAAGAAAGGTTGATCTAGATTTTTATATGATTTTTATGCATGGTTACCCAACATTTTTATGTATTATTTTGCTGACAATATTGCATGAAAATATTGTCCCTGTTCTCACATTAATTTAATGTCGAAGGAATGTTGAGCCGGCTTTTTTTGTTAGTTTTTCTATATTTTACATGCATTTTCTAAGCACCTGCCAAAAATCAACGAAAAATAATTGGTAGCAGATAGTATACTAGGTGTTAGACTTTTGGTACATAATTTTGGTTTTTCTGTTGTTGTTTTTCGTTAAGCTTGTTACGGGTGTGGATAGGGGGGCCGACTATACAAAAACATAACAAATCCCAATATCGTATTATTTTGAATTTTATTTTTAGATTAAAATAAATAATGAATAACAGAGATGTTGTTAGATCTATAACAGATAGTAAGTTTAATTTCTTTTATAATAATATCAATAATAACTATTTTAAATCAAAAAAATATTTATATATCATTTGTTAATATTTTCTTATTTAAAATTCTTTTTTATGTAACTATAATTTATCTGTTTTTAATAAAAATTTTATATTATAAAAACAGATTAATTCTTAATCTGTTTTTATATGTCACATTAAAAAGAAGATTAATGCTTCAATTTAAAACTTTGCTTTTGAATGTATTGTTAACTATTAGTATCTGTTGTCAATTTTATTATGACACAACATACAAATCAGATAATTCATTGGTTTATTACTTGCAAAAATCTTGTTAGCATTTTTCAAATATAATAAAACTTATCATCTTATTATCATCTTTTATTATTTTTGGATTGTATACTTCTTTATCTTTGGATTATTATTTAAATCATAATACAAGCATGCCTAATGTTTACATGTTGTTTAGATCCTGCTGCACATTATGAAGCTTTTTTGAGATATCGTAAGTATAAATCACATATTTTATATATAACCACAACCAATATAATGTTATTAATATATAAACAAAGTGAATAACCATTCCTAATGTTAGCTTGTTATTTATTAATATATTTTCTTTACATTTTCACTGTTAGTTTTCATTATATTAATACAGTTGTTGCATCTTCCACATAACTATGATTCTTTTATAATTTCATAGTGTTTTGTTTTAATTATACACTTTTTTTGTTATTTTTAGTTCAATCTACCCAGCCTACCACAGGTAAGTTTGTAACCTACCACAGGTAAGTTTGTATAGGATAACTAGATTATCAAATATAAGAATGTATATCTTGGTTTAATTTATATTATTTTTGATCTTCATTCCTTTTATCAGTTGCTACGGTTAGTTATTTTAAAAGCTAGTACTTTTTAATCTGTAAATAGATTTAATACCAATTTCAAAATCGTCAATTGCAAAATTTATTTTTTTTATTACTTTTTTTACCTTTAGCAACATCTTCATCTGCAATTAGTGGTAAGTTTATATACTTTTTTTTAATATCATTTACTAAAAGCCAAGACATAAATTCTATAATTTGTATTTTAAAACTTTTTAAAATATAAGTTTTAAAACTGTGGTTAATTTTTAGGGTGGATACTCCAACCTGCATCTTGTAATGTGGTAAGATTATTAAAGTTATGTCTCGCTTTTTACACAATTTAAAGACATTTTTGAAATTTTTATTGACAATATTTTAAAGTTTAAATAAGAAGAGGTGGGGGGGGGGGACGTTGGGCGTGGCAAACACCCCTCCCCTCACTAACATGGTAAAATAATCTTAAATACTAATTTCTCTTTTTAAATAAACTCAGTTTAAAACCATTTTTTAAATATCTTTTGAAAATTTTTTTTAGGTTGGAGAAGACTGAGAGGAAAGGGGGGAGGGGCGTTAAGCTTGGCATCTTTCCGCCCCTAATGTCAATTTATGCACCACGTATATTCTGTTAAGTAAAAAAATATAATTTAAAGTCTTTAACACAAAATATAATTAGTGTTTTTTAGGCTCAAATATTTATAAGATGGTAACATTTCACTACAAGGGTGTTAAAACAGAACAAATACATCCACCCTTTAATCTAAAATAGACCAATAATATTTGGAAAAGTAATGGAAGCAAATTAGAACAACTTTTTGTGTATAAAGATAACAAATTTTATCAGCAAAATACTCTTTCGTGTGAAAAACTTGCATTTTTTAAGGTTTCGATGGTGTTTCGTTACCCCCTCTGGCCCTCTAGACACCCCTTTTATCTATAGAGCTATATGAACTTGTAGCCTACTATTACATCTATCTTTTGATACCAAGGTATAGGCATTTGGATAAGATTAGACAAAGTTATAACAATTTCAGTGAAAAAAAAATTAATTTTGGAACCAGTTTCTTCAAGAAATCCATATATCGAAAATTTGCTACTAAAAACGTCATAACTTTTTTTTAAATTCTTCGTTTTTAATAATTTTTTCACCATTAAAATACATTTTTAAAGGGCTTTCTAATGATATATAACATTCTAGTATATGTTCAATTAAAAAAAATCAGTCCACGTACCTATTACTATGTATATATATACTTGATATACTATTAGTATAGTATTGCTATATCAAGAACCAAGTTCTAACAATAAGATTTAGACATCTCATGCAGAATCGAACTTTTCAATAGGAAAACCTGAAAATGATCATGGAACAATTATCCTGATAATTCTTTGAATTCAATGTCTTTACTCGACAACATTATGCTATTTTATAATGGAACCAGTACATTAGTTAATGATCTCCTTGAAATATTGCCAAATCAAGGTTTGGAACTTCCCAAAGATTCAAGGAGAATTTTAAAAGCACCTTATGAAAAGCGACTTATAGACAGGTTCTTGCTAATTTATATATATTTTTTTAAACATTTAATTACTTGAGAATCGTATTAATATTGATACATATATTAAAATTGATACAGATATTGAAATAAATAGTCAAAAACTGGGTATATGATATACTATATATATATATACATATATATATATATATATATATATATATATATATATATATATATATATATATATATATATATATATATATATATATATATATATATATATATATATATATATATATATTAAGTATATACTTGACACTTGATATAGTATTTCAAGTATAATAATTGATATACTATATCAAGAACCAAGTTCTGACTGTTTGAAAGACTTAGACATTGCAGAATCTCATGCATAGTCATATTTTTCAAAAGGAAAACCTATTAATAATACAGAGAGTTTATGGTGATAATTCAATATAATTCAATATCTTTAATTAACAACTTTTAGATTGTTCTATTCGAAATAATTGGACCAGTACATTAGTTAATAAACTTTTTGAAATATTACAATATCAAGTTTTGGAACTTCGCTAATAAACAATTACTTAACTTTAGTAATTAGTTATTAGTGAAGTTCAAAAGTTTTGACTAAAAAATAAGTCTAATTGAAAAAATTAAACCAGTCATAACAGTTATATAAGAGACAGGAGGGTAGAAAATTTCCTTTACTCTAAAGGAAATTTTCTACCCACCTGTCTTTTATATAACTGTATTAACATATGAATAACCACTATATCACATGTTTGAATATTATTGGTAATTTACTAAGTAACCGATGAGAAACACTCCTTAATTTCTCCTTTTTTTTTATCATCTAGGAAATTTTATTAAAGTAAATGGGTTATACTTATTATTAAAGAAATTATATAGTCCTTTGATTGATTGCAAACCTATATTTCTATTGTATATATATACACACAACCCTTGGAATTAAGAAAAAAAAGGTTGACAATAATTTGTCAACATCAATCAAAAAAGCAAAAAAAAGTGATTCAAAAGTCCTACCATTAAACATAGAAACAAGGTCAGCATTATTTGTCGACCTCAGACACTTTTAGTTTGGCATTGCTGCATGCCGACCCTAATTCCAAAGGTTATATATATATATATATATATATATATATATATATATATATATATATATATATATATATATATATATATATATATATATATATAAAAGTAATATGGTAATTTATAATAATTTTTCTGTTTTTATTTTAAATTTATTGAAAAAAAGATTCTGTTTTCAATGTAGTTATTTTCTCCTTAATTCTTCTATTTTTTCTTTCAAAAAATTGACTTTCGTGACCAAATCTTTTTAAATAATAGAAAAATGTCTCCTTAAAATCCTGACTTATAGCGTCAGTTTTATTAGTAAAAATGCAAAATATATGTCAAATAAAATAAAAATAAGTTTTGCTAAAATTTAAAATTATTAGAATTAGTTAAAATTTAGAACTATTAGTTACTATTAGTTAAAATTTAGAAATAGATAGTGTGAAACATCAATTAGATACAATTTAAAGTTGAACAGAAAAATAAAAAATAAAAAAATGCTAATGCTAAAAAAAAAAACACTTGTAAGAGTATTTTTTACTTTATCCATAAGTTTTATTTACTTGTTAATTAAGATTTTATTTTTAGGAGCGTCAACTACATCAAGTGTCAGTTGATATATATGTTTTGGTCAAATACATGTTTGTATTTGGTAATATTATGTTACATTTTTGTTTTATATTTCAAAAACTCTTATTGCATTTATTAAAATATGCATTTAGGAATCTAGAATTGATGTGTTTGTAGTTTTTGTATCTAATTTTGTTTTAAATTAAAGAAATTTTATTTGATTAAATGTATTTAACTCTAAAGTTCATTTTTATTTTTGCCTTCGGTTTTAAAAAAATATAACAACGGTTTTGGCTATAGTTCATTTTATGTAATGGTTAATGTAATATAATTTATTTTATGTAATATGCCTAATGAATTTTTATTAGTAAAAGCTTCTTTAATTCATTCAGCTCCTCCAAAATTTGAAAGTCTGTGATTCAAAATTTCGCTTTTCCCAAAACAAAGTTAAAGAAAATATATGAAGTCAATGATAAATCTTAAAGTTTTACAAAGAATAATGTAAGTAATATTTTTTCTTCTAATAACTATCTTGGAAGTTATTTTAACTATCTAGGCCTTTTATTTTTATAAATTAATTTTTTTAATACTTCTCAATACTCAAAATAGGTACCTAGTCAATTCAGCAAGATTCAGCTCTGATTGCTTGGAGGGGGTATCTGAGCTTGAAAAGGATCTCACCTCTGCTACAGCATGTGGCTCACAATGGCTGGTGAACTTTATTTCAGATAAAACTCAATTTTTTTCGGCCAATTGTTATCGCAATAATTTTGATCTTCCTATATTTATGAATGGTAATGTACTAGATGAGTCATATACCCTTCACCTTCAATGATTAACTTTTACTTCTGATCTTTCTTTTAAACCGTATATCAAATCCATTGCAAAATTAGCATCTGCTAAGGTTGCATCTCTTTATCGAGCTCGACACTTCCTTACTCTAGATTCTATTCTCTATCTCTATAAATCTCAAATCCGTCCCTGTATGGAATACTGTTGCCATATCTGGGGCAGATCTTCTATTGATGCCCTTTCTCTTTTAGACAAGGTGCAAAAACGCATTGTAAACATAGTTGGACCTGCTTGTGCAGCCAATTTCCAACCATTGTCACATCGTTGTGATGTTGCTTCTTTTTCTCTTTTTCACAAATACTATAATTGGCACTGCTCTAAAGCTAGTTTTTTTCTTCGAACATCAGTTCTTTGGAATTTGCTTCCTTCATTTGCTTCCCTGATTCACATAATTTGCAATCTTTTAAGTCATCTGTCAATCGTTATCTTGCCCTACGAACTTAATCTTTTCTCTTCCAATAACTTCTAAACTCTTATAATGGTTGTTCGCAGCCTTGTTGGAAGCGAAGATGTAATATATATTTTTTCTATTATAATATATATATATATATATATATATATATATATATATATATATATATATATATATATAAATTATAATATATAGTCTTTAATTCATTTACTTACTTATCTTAAGAATAATGAAATATAAAAAACGTTTAAAGTTGAGAATAGTTTTGATCTTTACTAGTATGATTCTATCGCCAAGTCTCTTGAATGTGATCAATCATTTCTCGATACTAATGTTGCAAAAAGTAGTATATTTTTTATTATGGTTAAATGTTTAGTTTTTTTTTATAAGGGTAAATTACATAAAAAAAATTTGATCTGTAATTATATACATAATGCTCACTTTAGAAGTAAACATAATATACACAAAGTTTTTGAATTGAATAAAACACTAATGAATTGCTCCTATGCCCAATATAACTTACACTAAATTGTCCCATATCAATTACACTAGTGTTATCTTTTGAATTTAGAAATAGAAGTTATTAAATGTTGGTGGCTCATCATGCAATGCATTTGAGAAGGGCATGCTTTCAAAGTAAGTATAATTTTACTATAAAAAGAGCATTTTTAATACCGCAATTATATTGCATACTTGATATACATAAATATATACGCTGGTCACAACAATCCAGTCAAAAATTTCTTTAAAAAAATAAATTTAGTGTTGAGAAGTTCGTATTTTTTGATGTTTGATGTTATGTTTATAAAATAATAATTATATATGTGTGTGTGTGTTATTTATTTCTTTCCCCTTTATTTGTACATACTTATCTTAACAATATTTTTTTAAGGTTAAGACTGCTTTCCTGATTCCTACAGCAACAAAAAAAACTTTAAAATGCTGGTGGCAATATTTTAAAGAGTGCATCTGATCGAAAAGAAAGTGAATAACGTCAACTGTTCGAAAATTCGATTCTTGGAAATTAACAAGTGGAACAAGAAGTTTACAAAGTTGTAATTTATAAAACTCAGCACAATTATATTATTAAAAAATTTAAATGATTTATTATTTTTTTCTCATTCTCAAGAAGTTCTGTAAAAACATAAATTTGAACCTTACGTTTAAGTAAAGCCATGTTAGAACACGTATTTTAGACGTCGAAATAAGAACGTCTAAATTAGGTTATTTAAAGACGTCATTCGGCGTTTCCATTTAGCACTAGTCCTAAATTCACGTCTTTTAGACGTCTCAAAACACGTCTTTATTCCGTCCTAAAAAGACGTCTTAATTACGTCTTAAAAAAACGTCATCTGGCGTTGCCATTTAGAACCAGTTCTGGACGTCCTAAAAAGACGTCCTTTCGACGTCATATGGACGTTTCCGTGCCCGCTGGGAATGGTGCTTCAACTTATCATGATCAGTACATTGGACTGCAACAAAAGATTTCAGAAGCTGCAGACTACCATGTACATATTAGGTATTCACAACATAGTTGTAAAGGAGGCAACCAGCTGCTG